TACTTAATATGCACAGATGGTATATAGAACTATTTTGTGAAAGGTGACAAAAGTTGATTTTGGTGCTTAAAAGGTTAATATGTTAAGAATTGTTTGAAATAAACCATAGTAAAACTATCACAGCCTTGCCTGTATTTCTCAGTAGTAAATATACTGTGATTGTATTATCTTGTTTATTGTAATTTTCTTTTACTACAGTGATGGCCTTGGAAAAACTAATCAAGGCAGGCGGGAACCAGTGGAGGCTGTTGTTTTACCTCCAGGTAAGAAGGAATTTATTGTTTGCTTTTGAGCATTTTGTTTAACTGTGTGACCGTCACATTTTTGTTTTTGTTGTCTTATGCCTTTTCACTGAAATGTTATTTATCAATCAATATCATATATATATATCAATTCACTTGCATCAACCTGCCTGGGAACAAATTGACAAACCCAAAAATTGCCCACCTGCTAAAACAACGCTTTTGGATGGACAGTATATCGGACAAATATGGTAATGCTAACCATTACTCTGACAAGAGTCGTCTTTGTGGAGACCTCTGACATGCAGGTATAATTTGTGGCAAAAAGCACTACCTCATTAACAACTCTTTTTTTTCATTCTGTAGGAAAGTCATTAGATATTATTGCCGAATTGAAAAAGAAAAACAAGTTAGGAATTTTCAATAAAATGAAGAAAAAGAAAAATGTAAAAAGACTTGGCGGCCATGTCAGTCAGAGGAAATCAAGAAATGTTTTTGATTTTCTCAATAAAAAACTTGGAGGTTCTGGAGGTGAGAAATCTGCAATTTAGAGATTACCTACTTAATATGCACATATGGTATATAGAACTATTTTGTGAAAGGTGACAAAAGTTGACTTTGGTGCTCAAATGGTTAATGATATGCAAATTACCTACTTAATATGCACATATGGTATATAGAACTATTTTGTGAAAGGTGACAAAAGTTGACTTTAGTGCTCAAATGGTTAATGTCAGTCAGAGGAAATCAAGAAATGTTTTTGATTTTCTCAATAAAAAACTTGGTAAGAAATCTGCAATTTAGAGAATTTGCCTTGATGTTTGCGTAAAACAGAGCAAATCCTTGACGTTAACATTTCCACCACCAGACTTTCTCACCCAAATTTTTCTGCACTTTTTTCTTATATTCTTCAAAATTTCTGGAAATGAACATTAATTTTGGAGCCAACAGATAAAATTTGAGTAAATTTTCATTTTTACTCAAATAATTTTGCTATTTTTGTCCTGAACGAAAGTGCAGACTATAAACGGGACTATTTTGTGAATTTGTGATGAAAATAGGGTGGTGAAAAGGTTAATACAGTATATATAACCCTGACTTCTTGCATATCACATGACTTGTCTAAAATCATAAATTTTCTTAACAGGTGATGAAAGAATGAAAATAACTAAAGATAGAAATAGACATGAAGTAAAGTTCAGAAATAAAAAGAATCTCAATATTCAGGTAATGGTAGACACAATAATGGCACCATTATTTTGTTTTGTTTTTTTTTGTATTTTCTATGATCAAAATGTTGGGGAAAATCTGTAAAATAAATGATGTATTTTTGTGATTAAAGACAAAATTTGTTATCTGCCATTTTTTCCATGTTTTTTTTCAAAAATAATATTTTGAATGTTATGTCCATTCCCTCTAAAATTATCAAAGAAATTATAAAAAAAACACATAAAAATGTGCAAAATGGTAAACAAAAATTCTGACTAGAACAGGAAACAACTTTGTTTCTAGCAGGAATGACATTCTTTCCTCTATTTTTTATTCATCTACAGCTTGTCCAGATCCATCAACAGATGAGGGAGCTTGAAAGAGAAATGTCAAAATTAAAAGAAGCGAGAATTAGGAATGTAGGCACGTAAGTATTTCCATCTTCAGATATCAATGTTTTTGGTTATTCCATTTGCAATTTAATGTCATATGGACATGCAAGTATTTCCATCTTCAGATATTTATGTACTCAGTGATTTAATATGCCATTGAATATAATGTGGGCACAGAAGTATTTTCATCATCAGATATTATTGTAGTCAGTGATTCAGTAGGCCATTAGATGTAATATGTACATGTAAGTATTTTCATGCTCAGAAGTCAATGTATTCAGTGATTTGGTAGGGCATTGAAGAAAGGTTGCTGTGACGTCCTCAATGACATGTAACTGTTTTTTTTAAACTAATTATTTATAATTGGGTGAAAGTTTTAGAATTCTTATTGTATTTCCATCTTCAGATATAAAGTATTCACTGATTTAAATGTATTGCGTATAATAGAAACACCTATGGCAACCAATCCAAAGAGTAATGCTGAATTGTTGACTGTACTTCCAGTGACATAAAACACATTTCTAAATACATTGTTTTTCAGAGATAAAACCATGACAGCACAAATTGATGACAAAATGGCAGCAGCACAGCAAATGATGACATCACTGAAGCAGCAAGCAAAGAAAATAGAAAGACAACAACACAGCATGAAAGAACACAAAAAATTAACAATTTTTTAGTGGCCATCAGTTGCCAACATCAAAGGCAGATTCAGTTTCCAGTCCTGGATTCATATTCAGCTGCAACCTTGGATTAATACTGTGGAATACTTTATTTTCGCTGGAATTAATTTTCGCTGAAAAGGCTTTTTGGGCATTTTGTATGGAATTTATTTTCACTGATTTTTGATGAGTTTAATGTAAAATATAGGAAAAAAAGTATATTCGCTGGATTTTATTTTCACGGAAGCATCCCTTCAGCGAAAATAAATTCCAAGCGATAATAAAGTATTCTACAGTATTCAGTTTACAGTTGTGGATTCTTATTCAGTTTCCAGTATTGGATTCACCTTCAGTTACCAGCATCAGCATCAGCTTCAGATTCAGTTTCTAGTCTTGTATTCACCTTCAGTTACCAGCATCAGCTTCAGATTCAGTTTCTAGTCTTGTATTCACATTCAGTTTCCAGCATCAGTTTCAGATTCAGTTCCTAGCCTTGGATTCACTGTCATATCAGATTCATATTCCAGCCTTAAATGTGGATGCCAAGGCTAGATTCATATTGAATCCTTGTATTGCTACATTGTATATAAGAAACTAACATTTGAATAAAACAATGCTCTTTTCACAATGATCTTGAACTTGCACTTCATTTTCACAAAAAATTATGCCCTAATAAAACTGTCTGTATTACTGCGAAAACTAACTCTTAGCTGATTTTTATCAACCATACTGTAAAACCATTTATTTTCACTGATATTTAATTTCACTATTTTGATGTTTTGAGCATATTCACTGTGTGTTAATTTCATGAATTTGTCAAGGAAACAATGTGATTTATTGTTATTTTGCATGTTCACATAGATTCAATTTAGCGGATTTTACTTATCAGCGAAAAAAGCAAAATTAAAACCCAGTGAATAAATAATGCATATACAGTACTGGTAGTATGTTTGCCCAAACACATTTCCAACATTAATGTCCTGAAAAACATATTTGATTTTACTCTGAACTTTTCCAAATAAAAAAAAAAAGCTAAAACAGAATTAAAGTGATATTTTTTCATGAGTAAATTCATTATACTGAAGCTGGGTTGGATTGAATATGTTTTTTATTGAGATACACAAATGAGCATGTACACAACAGTGTCATGGGTTTACAATACATAGTTATTTAATACAAGATGACTGTGTTGATTTTAAGAATGTCTATGTCTGGCTTAGCCTGACAAGTTGGTGTAGGTGGCGCCACCTACGCCACCTTGTCAAGCTATGTCTGGCTTTGCAGTTGTAATTCACATTCAGGATCATTTGTCTGACTTGATGCTGACAAATTCTGTCCTTGTTCCAAAAGAATAATACCCTTATTCCAGCTGCATATTGTTTGTGTTGCCGTCCCTCAAAGTTTTACCCTTTGAAACAGTTGTAATTATTCATCAGTGACATAATCCATCAGAAATTTGCAACTGTTGATGTGTGTATGACAATTTTTAATGATGAAAACATGTTTTATCACAAACAAAAATATATTTGATGAGAAATTCAAAACACTACATATGCATGTATGATGACAATCTGATTAAAATCCGATGTAGGTATGAGGCTCCAATTTTTTTTAATTTTTTTTTTAATATTTTTTTTTTTATAACCCTTTATATTACATTATTAACGTAGTTGGAGGCGAGTGGGACACAATTTTCTAAGAAGTGATTAACGGCAAGAAAAACCAACAAAATCGACATATTCAAACTAAAATACAAATAATTATAAAGGGTTATAACAAAACAAAAACAAAAAATTAAATTGGAGCCTCATACCTACATCGGATTTTAATCAGATTGGTTTGATGATTGCTATTGTATGACCAAAGCATTCAATGCACATTCATACATGTTAGAGTTGTACATTATTCACGGACAAATCGAATACCAAGTTGTGTCCTGGACAACATTTTTTATATAGTTAATGATAATCATAATACCTTGTGTTCCTCAATATGCAAAACTACCAGTAAACAATATAATCAAAATTACACATTCTCGTCCATGTTGTGTCTTTAAAAGTGTGACATTTGTTACACAGCATGTGTTAGAATCCTGTACATAGAATCCATATACATGATGCCGAGCCATCTCTCAAATCAATTAAGTATTAAATATGTGTGAAAATGAAGGCATATAATGAATTCTGTTTTTTTTATCACTTATCACAATGTAGATAAACAAATTTTATCAGACTCCAAAAAAGTACCACCCCAAAAATATTGAACAAATCTCTCTGTAAGATAAGTATCAAGTGAAACCAATACTAGCTCTACATCAAACACATAAAAACCCTTTATTTAGCACAAAATTTGACTGACATTCCCAAAGTTTATTAGTTAAAAAGATTAGAATTATTGTTTGAAGGAATTAGAAATCTGTACCTAATGTGTTTTGTGTAGGTAGTAGTGAAAATATTTCTGTGAAGATCATATTAATAACTTTAAATTTGAGCAAATCTCTGCAAAAATTAATATATAGACCCTTGCAGGTTAATAATGACACTATGAACAGTCGTCTTTTAAGGGGCTACACATGTACCATACGAGTTCTATATAGAAAAGATAGTTAATTTTTGCCACAATAGATGCCCACACAGAAACAACTGTGTTGTGTAGATCAGTGATCAGAGCTTGTTGCTAGAAGAGCACAGTAGGGTGTGAGGAAATCTATTTATGGCGCAACTACTATCATCTCTATAACCTGATTATATCATAAAAACATTAGAGGAAATTACTTAAAAGTTACTGTTTATTTTATGTATTTAATACCTGTCCAATTTCAAACTTGTTCAAGAATTTGCAAATTTGCCTGGACACAAATTAACTTGCAATTAATATTTAAAAACAAACAAAAGAATTTGCACAATTATTTTTAATAAATATCTCTTGCTGAGTAATTTAAACAAACTGCTAGTGAAAATTACATTTTCAAAAATCAAAATGTCTTTTGAAATTTCGCAATTTATAACACAATGCAATAATTAAGCAAAGCATGAAAGCATGTATTTTGTGAAAATACAGGCCTCTTTGTTTTCACTCTGATTATGTTTCACTCACCTTTTTTCAAATCTTGATTATACTAAAACTTTACTTTCTTTTTTTCGAATTTTTTGAAAATTGTTAAAGCACTATTATAAAAGTCATCGTGCAATGCAGCACACGTGTTAAGCTAAAACTTTTTTTTATTTTACTCGCACAGTTTTTCACTTTGAACCCAGATCGAACTTGAAAACTGTGCGGTTAAATTTACAATCATGTGGTAAACTGGAAAATTCACTTTCCAATCCACATGATTCAAAATTATTTTATCACAAATTAGTTTAAATTATTCAAATATTCCTTGTTCATATTTACATCCCATCAAATTATATTCAAATTTTAGCACCAATTTTTATCACAAAAATAAAGCGTCTCCAATAATTTGTATTCGATAATTTTATATTCTTTCTATTAATTTACATTTTGCACAATAAATAGCAATTTATATAGTGCTGACATGATTGATCACATCAAACAATGAACGGTGTGTGAACACTGCCCTCTATCAATCATCGCAGGAAAATATTCAACTGTGTTTAAATAGATATAATGTTAAAGCTTATTTGTTATTTACAAACATATTAAAAAAATGTAATAATGTGTAATTTCATCCCATAATATTAATAATGAAGAATATGATTTAATATGTAAGATACATACAGGTTTAACTGGTTCAGATCTGCTGTCATTATATATACACTAAACTATACAGGGTATATTTAAACAAAGTTTATCCGAGTCAAATTAGATGTATATTAATATCCCCCTGTAACAGCTAGCAGGTAGCTACAACCCAGTAGCATTAGGTCACTATGAACCAGTGCCAGCCAACAGCAGGTCTCTACAATGTATGACGTTGGGTTAGTCAGGAGATTACTATGGTCCAACATCAGGTCACTATGACACTGTTGTTGGCAAGCAGCTCAGGTCACTCCATGTGTTGGCTAGCATGTCTACCTCAGGGTAGCAGGTGACAATGACCTGCTACTACTTCCGGTTCTTAAATACAGTTTGCATATTGGCTATATTTATTTTGGTAAACACACAAAAATAGCTAAAAGTCATCCGTTGTCATGTCAACATATGAATGAGATGATTTGCCTAGAAATATTACAATATTTATATATATATATATATATATATATATATATATATATATATATATATATATTTATATATATATATATATATATATATATATATATATATATATGAAGTGTAACCTCACCCGGCATACAAATATTTAATTATACTCATAAAATCAGTTTTTTCAAGCGCTCTTCAGACTTTTTTGGACATGACACAGAATCTTGTATCTTGAGGCTCAATCTTGTCAAAGTACTTCTCTCCATCGTATGTGTAATCTTTTATGGGGTCAAATAGTTTGTTGGTTTCCAATCCGACTGCAGTCGCTACGCTGGTGGCTAATGGGTGGGTATATATGCCACATGCTCCTACAAAATTCTTCTGCTTTGCAACTTTTAGTGTTTCTGTAAAATAAAAATCATTACTTAGCATAAATAAATACATAGTGCAATCCATACATGTTGTAGAAATGAATGCATATACTGTATTTAGGGATGGGCTATTAGAAAGTTTTGGGGGGTGATGACAGAACAAAAAAATTGCCTATTGATTTGAGGAAAAATATTACAGCTATTTCATTATTGAAAAAAAAACTCAACACTAAGTGAAGGAAAACAAATATTTTGCATAGCTGCCCCCTCCAAGAGTTTCTAATACAGTACTTAAAAGTAATATTATATTAGTTATAGTTCATATGTGAGTTGTTGAACACAATGCATATTTTGTGATTACAGTTACATACTCAAAATTCAAGTCAATTTTAGAGATTCTATCAAATTATTTGTTGGGGGATATTTTCCATTTGTAATCAGTAAATATTATTGGTGTTAATGTGGAATACATTTCATTATGAGTTATTCTTGTATATTCCTGGACATTGACTGGTAAATAATAAAAAAAATCAAAACAAGTGCATAGTCAGTAAAGAAAGATATATGGACATTATGGTATACAAGAAGTGATGTTGGATGAGAACATAATGAATACAAAAACAATCTTATTATTCAATGTGTGGATTAAGATTCTAGAAAGTTGTTTCCATAATATACAAATGTCATTTATGGGAGACTGACGCAAAGCAAATATTACTTTTACAAAAAATGTAATTCATTCATGATTTTCACATCTAAAACTAGTTCCAAATACTTACCAAGCTGCATTAGTTTCAGCAGACTAGCCTTCAAATGAACGTCCATGTTCTCAGATATCACAGTCACTAATTGAACCAACCACTGCTTACTGTCTGTTACACCCAGTTCATCTTTGGCCCACTTTTCGACATCAGTGCTATACTGAGAAAATGCTTTCAGCTGGGATGATGGAATTTGTTGTACTTCTGCATCGTCAAGGTTACGCTCACTAAAATCCATGTTAATTACCATGCCAACCACCTGGTGTGTTTCTTTCTTCCTTATCAGGAAGGAATAGTCTTTCCCATCAATAGCTACCATTTTCATGCCAGTATCCAGGTAGGATTTCTTCTCTTCTACTGGAATGTCCATAGCTACTGTTAAGGGTTCCTTTTGTACAAATCCTTCAACGGCCAACTGACAACCGATCTCTAATTCTTTAACAGTTGATTCGTGAAGTGATACAGCTTCATATTCAGGAATATCAAAGTCGTCATTGGTAACATCGTAGTTTATATCCAGCAGATCACCAAGATGTTGTGCTTGGAAAAAGTCTTCAATCTTCATAAGTAGACCACCATCTTGTAGTTTGTTGATAGCCAAGATGGCGTTTACTGTAAACAATACAACAGTACATGTTAATGTGAGACAATAGAGGAACATCAGCTTTGAATGCACTAAGCTTCTAGCACTTAAAACACAGGATACTAAGGGATGTGTGCATCAGTTTTTTGTACTGCGGAGCATTACAATACAGTTTCTTAGCATGCAATAGTCTGTGGATGAATTAATTAAGTGCAGAAAAAATTATCTGCAAAAGTATTTGGAAGTCATCTTCTTCTATTACAGATGCATTTGCTCTAAATCGAGTTGGATGTCATCACCCGGTTGAGTATAAAGGAGTGTGAAATCAATTGATTCAGAACAGATAAGTATCTCCACTGGTCCGAAATAGAATGTGGGACATTCACTGGTCCGAAATAGTCAGGAACTGGTGCTGAATAGATCTATCATGTCTTCCTCTCAATACGAGGAAGACTCTGTACTAATCAAACTATTACCTATCTCACTGTAGTAGAATGGCCTGACATTTCTTAAATGGGATGATACAAACACAATATGTATATTCACATAGCCCCTGTTTTGTAAGAAATGTGCATTTCTTTGTTTTATGTCTGTTGAGTACAAGTTAGATATAAATTCACATACTTACACGAATTGCCACCTAGTAAGAAAAAGTCATTCTCCATACTGATTTCCTCTTTTGATAATCCCAGTACTTCAGAGATTACATCTATGATTAGAAGTTCATTTTCTGATGGCTCTATTATTTCTTCTGGTTCTATTTCCTCCGCTTGCACATCCCTGTCAATTTCATTGTCTGCACCATCTTCATTTTCTTTGTTAGTTTCTTTCTGTTGCTCTTCTATATGTTCCTCTGCTATTTTCTTCTCATCATCATTGCCATTTTCATCAAGGACTTTGACTTCTGCTATCTCTCCATTTTCTTTAACAATCTGGTCTTCATTTGTCTTTATAACATCTTTCTCTTCGCCTACAATCTCTTCATTTGTGGCGTGATTAACTGCCTGGGTTTCACCATTCTCAATGGCAATTGGTTGGTCCTCATCATTGGCAAATAACTGTCTCCTCACTTTCAAATCTTCATTTTCCTCTCTCACAGACTCTTCTTTGCTTTCAGGAGTTGCCTGCTCAGCTGCCATTGGTTCATCCTTCTTTGTTTCTTCTATTTTGTCATCGCTAAATGGAAATTCTTTGTTTTCCAGTGGTGAGTTTGGTGGAGTTGGTGGATCATTGTTTTTACTATTGTCCACATCTGAATTTTCCTCTGAAATTGTAAGTTCATCTACTGGTTTTGTTTCTTCCTCTACTGTGTTTTCACTTTCTTCTTCTGGTTTCTTTACTCCTACATCATTTTTATCTTCAGTTGTCTGTTCTTCTGTATCTTTAGTGTCAGATTCAATTGAGCGTGCTGTTACAAGTTTTGCTTTTTCGCCTTCTTCTTGTTCATGTGCTGAAGTAAGTTTTATGACTGCAAATTTAGTCAATCCATCTGTCATTGTTGTGGGAGTCAAAACAACTTCATCATCTGATCCAAGTTCTTCATCTTCGTCTATTTCCTTTTCTTCTTCTTTTTTGTCTTCATCAGAAGAAGACTTTTCTTCTTCATTTTCACTTTCATTACTTGATTCATGTTCTGGTGTATTTTCCTTTTCTGCTAAAGCTTCCTCCTCTTTTTTTGCTAACATCTCCCGCTCTTGTCTCAGTTGTTCTTGCTCCTCACGTAATTGTTTTTCCTTTTCCTCCTGTTTCCTCTCAAATTCTTCTTGAGCTTTCTTCATCATTTCTTCTTGCTCTCGCCTCCTTTCTTCAGCTTGTCTTGCCAGCTCTTCTTGCCTCTCCTTTCTTTCTTCCTCAATTCGTTTGAGTTCATCCTTTTGCCTCTGGATCTCTTCCTCTTCACGTCTTTGTTTCTCTTCTCTCTCTTTCTCCCTTTCTTCTGGAGTCATCAAAGATTCTTTATATTCCACATGAAGTGCAGCAGGATCCACCTTTCCTGTATGCAAAGAAGTATAACAATATCATTAATATATCACTGATATTTATCTAGCTGTACATTGGGTACCTGAAATGGTTTATATAACTTTCTGAAAGAATAAGTATCTAATTATCGTGTTCATGAGCGATAATACAGAAGCTCATAGACAGATGTCTACCCAGTAGTTGTTCCTCTCTAGGGGATGCCATTCAAAATAATATAGCAAACTACTTTGTGTCAATTTCACTTATTACGAAAGGTGAACACCAAAACAGCTAAAATAAATTGGGCTATGAATTTGAACTGTGGGCAAGAGGTTACCTGTCTGAAAACTGGTGACTGGTTGAAGTTGGTACATATACGTGCTATGCAATTATGTAGTATCTTTTTTTCAACCACTCAGTTACAATTATAGATAACTTGGAGGGGGAATTGATTGTGTAAACACATACCATTTGGTAGAAGTGGAAATTCGTCTACAGGAACAATTCCAGTCGGGATAGTGAATGATGGCAATGTCATTTTCAGATGTTCTGTTACTATATCAACATCGCATGCTGGACTGAAGTCACGTGCTTTGAAATAAGACACGCATGTCTTCTTATTATCATCCCCTGTGTGACAGAACGTATGCGCGCGCATCACGCCCGGTATCTCATAGACAGCAGCATCAATTTCACTTAGGTCGATCCTGAAGCCACGAACTTTGACCTGGGAATCCATGCGTCCCTCAAACACAAGCTGTATCTCCCCGGTTGCTCCTCTAACAGCGCGTAAGTAATCACCGGTGTTGTAGAGCGTCTGGTGCTGAGGGTGGTAGTCAAAGGTATTTGGTAAGAATCGTTTAGTATCTGCTTTAGCCTTATTTGGGTCAAAATAGGCGTCATAAACAGTGTGTCGTGTTTCAATACTGTTTGTTCCTGTATCGTTCAGATACCCATCGCTAATATTTGGTCCACTCACATAGGCTATTCCGCGTTCGTTAAGTGCAACAAGTTGCATATTCTCATCCAATATATAGATGTTCGTATTTTGTATTGGGGCACCGATGGGCATTTTCCCAAGTTTTCTCACGTCGTCCATGTCTTTTAACTTGTATTCAGAATGTGTCACATCCCCGGTGAGCTCTGTGGCACCCCAAATATTACACAAACTTTGTTCTGGGAAAATATCAAAAAATCTCTGAGCAAGTTGGATTGAAAGGTCTTCACCTGTTGAAACCCAGTATTTGATTTTTTGCAATGTATTAGTTCCACTCTTGCTGTCGCCGTCGCTGTCGTTGTCACTGTCACTGTCGCTGCTACTGTCAGATGAACGTTTTTCTAAGACACATAGGATCTCATCCAAGAGTGTCGGTACCAACATCAACCACGTGACGTCACTGTTGTCAAGGAGATCGAGGAAGTGCTTTGGCGTCGATGTTATACAATAAGGTGCAACCACAATGGGATTGCCATGCAACGTGAAACCGAATATTTCCGAGATAGAATCGACAAAGCTAAGCGATGACTTGAAGCATCCCACGTCTTCACTGGTGAGAGAGAAGCAGCTCCAGAGCGCGGAAACGCGATGTAAAATAGCTTTATGGGAGATTATAACTCCTTTGGGAAGTCCAGTTGAACCAGATGTGTACAGAATGCAGGCCGGCGGCGAGTCGCGGTTAAATGAAGTGTCCGTCAGTAAATCGCTTTCATCTAATCTATAGTCGTATAGCCTGATAGCTTGCTTCCCTGATAGGTCGTCAAATTTAAACAAATCCGGTCGTTTTTCACTCTGTATTTGTTGCACGATTCTCCCCATCTCCACACAATTCTCGTCATCTGTGATAACACATAGCGGTTTCGATGTCTCCACCATTCGCTTCAACCTTTTACTCGGATATTTCGGATCAAGAGGGAGGTAAGCTGCTCCTAATTTCAGGACTGCGAAGATAGCTACAATAACGCTATCGCTCGGACCCATATGCAACCCGATACATGTTGGGTTTCTGTGTTTCCCGTAACCAAGACGTTTCCGTAACGACCTGGCCAATGCATTTGCCTGTGCATTCAATTCAGTAAAAGTCAGTGTTCTGTCTCCGAATATAATCGCCTGTTTCTCGCCAGCTGTTCCCCCGAAATACGGTATAACGAGGTGCTCTAGTGTTCCGTGCACCGTCGTTGACGGCAAGTCGAACGGAAAAGAAACTCGCTCCCCTCGTAATATACTGGCATCCGCGCCGAAATCACGTCTCCAGGATAAAGACATCTCTGCACAGTTCTATAATATGAAAAATACGGACTATATTAGTAACGAAATGACTAAACATTCGTGGTATACTGACTTCCAATATTTCATACGCAAATGGTTGTTTGATTATCTTTAAATATTGTTATTACCCGGTGTTATGATTGTGATAAAACCGTACAAAATTGCGAATACGTGACCTAATTACAAACGATATATATGTGTGTGTTTTACTATATACCAGGACTGCCTGTGGATTCCGGACCAGACTTGTGAGTTCCCGGATGTTGACATGTATTATAAATTTATATTATGTTTATTTTACGCATTATTAATTACCATTCAGTGTAATAAACGTGTCTCAGAGGTGATACAATAATAGTCCGCAATAAATATTTACGATTTAGTTGACCGATCGACTATTATTTGTGCCGGTGTTGCTAGGTTATAGTCAATTTGATTACTAGTTTGAAAAAACTATATAACACACGAACGATTTTAACTACATCACATTGTAATCAGTTTCGGCTATATCCAACAACAAACTAAACACACTGATATGCGCGCGTCTTTTTAAAAACAACCGTAACCGAATGAATAATATCCACCTCATCTGAAATAATGATCCAACCTTAAACTTTACAGTAATCACGCGAGAAATTAATTTCTTCTTGATACGTGATTAAGCATAAATATCATTCATTTTCTTATTTTGTTAGAATAATTCCAAAACTTAAAAATTAACAAATATTTAATCGTTTCATTTATATGAGTGTGTAGGTAATTAAATTTGATTTGGTTTGTGTTTTGAACTCGACTACTAATTATAAATTCACATGTCGATGTAAGTTTAATTGGTGATAATATACTGATTGTGCCAAGTCAAGTGGATGTGTACAGATTGTGATCGGTTTTATTATTTCAATACTGTTAAACCGGGCAGGTGGCACAATGCAATAAACATGACAGGAAGTCCTCTGGCTAATGGCTTAATCCGACTCTGAATGGGACTTAATCGATAATGGCATATTTCTTTGCACAAAAAAAGGAGTCCGCCTCTCGTGGTCACAAAGGGTCGCCATTGTTCATGTTATTGATGATCCAAATCAACAAGGTATTGTGATAATACTAGGACTCGGGTCAAAGGTTACATGCAAATGCCACTAGAGAACACTTCGTAGTAAAAAAAAAAAGAGGTCAAAGAGTTATTTTATATCACAAACAGTCCGTGCTGTCCAATACCCCGTCCAAAGTACACGAGAATGTTATTTCGAAACAGTAGTAATTGTAAATGGAATACATGTACGTCAAACCTTATAATAATAACAATTGTTGTATGCTTTCGCTATGTATTATATTTTAAATATTTCCAATCGAAAAATACTACTTAGGACTATAGGTACTAGTGTAGTAGCCAGCGGTAACATGTCCTCCATATAAGCATAGGCGTGCCATGGTTTATGTATGGGTGTATGTGTGAGTGGTTTCGCTTTAAAATAACGCAAGTGCCGTAGGTTCCTTTTATGCTCATTTGCCCTAGTGTATAGTAGCACGGAAAGTAGGACACGTCCACGACATCCCAGCTTCAGCAACTTTACACCTTTTTTATTCTAATTCTACGATAATATACCTATTCTATAAAACATGACAGATATATCGCCTTACCTGTTAGGGTACAACCTTGTGGTGAAACCCTCTTTAGTGTTCTCCCCCGTCGGCTTTTCACGAACTCCTATGTGTATACAACAGGCTCAGTGCTGGCACGTTCTACGCGTTTAGCGTCCCTCGCAACCACAAGGCCAGCCCCTCAGTTTCGTTGAATCCGGGGGACGCCGATATTCATGCGTCACTGCGTGTTGAGCTGGCTTATTTATTCACTATTTTTTAAGTGCGTTGTTGGAATGGTAGCGTTACTAGGGGCGATGTACCGAGCGGTTACGCGTAATTCAGCTATTTCACCATCCACAACTCACAAAGAATGGCGGAGATTACAATCTTTGAGCTGAGCAACGACCCAATGAGTGAAATGCCGATAAGATTGGTCTTTTTTTCTCTGCGTGTAGTACGTGTTCTGTGTAGCATTCCGATTACTTGTCCGGGCCAGTCTATTGTGTTTGCAGGCATTTGGTCATTTAAAACTTGGCTCCTTGCCCGTTTTGGGTTATTCGTGTCCACCTAAAGGATATCTATCTGTTGTTCGGCACGGAAACTGTGATTTACTAGCACTACAACTGCGTCCCCGTATCGATTTGTATTTGAACTTAAAATAGCATTATCTCACGTACATTGCACTGGTTTTACGATGATAGCGCCACCATCCGTCGCTAAGCTATCGCGGGAGAACAATTAAATCGAGAACTATAAAAAATTGTTCTCTAGATTCAACATGTTTGTTTTCACTCTCGTCAGTTTATAATCAAGTCGCGATATAACGTCAAATATATTTTGCAAAATAAGAGCGTGAGTTTGTGCTGCTAGATTTAGCATGCATTTCGTCTAGGGGATCTGGCTTGTTTCGCTGATAACAACTGTACCTCATTGGCTCCGTGCCAGCACAATCTGATTAAAATCTGATGTAGTGTACGGGCTTTAATTATTTTAGCTATGAAGTTATTTTAATTTTATTTTTCATTACTTTTGTTATTAATGCCCTTTTATTTTATTATTTTACTTTGATTTTTTTTAAAATTCCGCCCTACCTACATCTGAGCCGATGCCTATGTAACGAGATTTCAACGAGACCCACTATCTACGATTTTAGTCAACGAATCACAGACCTCCTTCTATAGCGCACATGATGACGTCACCGGG